GGGCACACTGCCCTTGAACTTCAGCTATGTATTCAACAGGGGGACCATTAGAAACTGGCGTCAGAATTGGGAAAAAAAAATCCTGCATTTCCTTGGGAACAAAATTAAACAAAGGAAATAAAAAAAAATTACAGCAAAATTCATCATTGAAAAACATAAAATAGCACAAAACTAAATGAAGAAAAAAACTATTTTGCATAATTTTGCCGCCAAGTTTCCAATGGTTCACCCCTAAATATGTATATAGGATTCAGATAAAAATGTGGAGAAAATCACGGAAATCACTTACCTGACCGTCTTTACCATCCCATGCTTCTATTTTTGCTACTTTTGGTAATTTTGCTCCTTTCACTGGTGCAGTTGAACCCCTGCCATAAGACAACTCTCTGCAGAAAAATAGATTGAGTGTATCTCATTAATAACTAATCACAGACAAAGTTTGGTTTGCAATACTGCACTTCTATATTCCAATCATGTTTGATACATGATGATTTCTCTTTATACGTTTTTATTTAAATTGGATGTAGCAACAATGTAGCATTTTACGTAATAAAATCAGGTCTGCACTGCTACAATGCACAGTCTAGCAAAATGTCAAGTTATTCTGTGACTGTACTGTACTGTACTGTACATATATACAAGAGAATTATTAAAACCTACAGACCTGAGGAACTCGTTGAGACCATCTTCACTAAATGAACCTCTGAGCAAGGCGTATTTCATTTTTCTAGAATTCAATGCAGCCATGGCAGGGTAACCAAATCCGCCGATGCCAAGCGATTCTTCCACGTCAAACTGAGATCCTGCTTCGGCCCAGACCCATCTGTAATAGAACACACCATTAACAATAAATACCCGCTTCTGTTGTAGCCGCCAAATCGAGAAGCATCAGTTCGACAGGCGGGCAATGTTATGCCATTTATTGTTTTCTGTTCACAATTGTCACATTAAACTAAGACCCCCAAAAATCCAGAGAGCACCAAGAAAGCACAGCAATTTTTTTTATTGCTACTCTATCTAGTCTAATTTGTTTAACAAAACAAATTCAACTTTATTTTTTCAGAGGTCACTCACCCCCATTGCTTCTTCTTGTACTTGTCTGCCATATCTAGCAGTAAATTTAAATATTTATTGCGTCCCACTGCGCCCGTATCCAGGATGTGCGGTAGAATGGAAATGACGCACAACTGGTGGCCCTCACAGGAGTCTGTTAAAACTTTTTCTTCAGTGATCTGAAATAAAATAACATTTTATTTTCTGTCCTAGTACATATTTCACCTTTGCATTTCAAAGCACTACCTGTATGAAATGGGAGTGGTTGTAGCGTGTGCGTTTGACAGGTTCAAATTTTGTATAAATAAAGATGCATTTCAATGCCATACATATTTGTTGATGTGTAGTTTCGGATGCACACTTAGCGCAGCAGTTGTGACGACCACCACCTTTTAAATGGGTTATAAGAACTACATACTGATAGTCGACATTGTCTCGGATTACTTTCAGTTCAGTTGATCGTAAACAATAACAATACTCATTTCAGTTTGAAAGCAGTACATGCAGATACTGTAAAATACTTCATTTCCACTTGGAATTTATTTTCACTGAAATAAAATCCAGCAAATATACCTGTTTTCCTATATTTCACATTCAATTTATCAAAAGGCAATGAAATAAATTCCATACAAAATGCCCCAAAAAGCCCTTTCAGCGAAAATTAATTCCAGCAAAAATAAAGTATTTTACAGTATTCCCCATAATTGGGATTGATTTACATAATGGTCAATGAGTTAATGGTGCCATGCAGATGGGCAACTGAAACTAAAACCGAATAGTCATACCTCATGAATCTCTGGAGGTGGCAAATTTTCGGCAGCCCTGTCTGAACACCAGTTCACTATATCTCCCGACGTCCTACCTCCAGTATATTCCTCTCCCTCCCTGGATTTCTTGCCAGCGGGGAAGTATTTAATAGTGGGATAACCTCTGACCTGAAATCAACACCATTGTACATTTCAAAGATTTAGTACATGTAGTATTAAATACAACATACACATACAGAGGACCTACATATATTATTACAGTAAATATAATTGCAACAGTAAACAAGTCTACACATGCTATCCTGAATCACTTCA